GGTCAGAGCCCCTCCCCCCCCGAATCCCCGTTTTTAACCCCAAAATTCCCGTTTTTCTCCCCAAATCCCCAATTTTTCCCAAATTCCCTGTTTTTCCCCCCCAAATCCCCGTTTTTTCCCAAATTCCCCATTTCTCCCCCAAAATCCCATTTTTTCCCCAATAATCCCCGTTTTTTTCTCCCCAAAATCCCCGTTTTTCCCCCCAAATTCCCCATTTTTCCCCCCAAATCCCCATTTTTCCCAAATTCCCATTTTTCCCCCCAAATTCCCCATTTTTTCCCCAATAATCCCCGTTTTTTTTCTCCCCAAAATCCCCATTTTTCCCCCCAAATTCACATTTCCACTCCCAAATCCCCCCATTTTTTCCCGTTTTTTCCCCGTTTTTCCCCCCGAATCCCCGTTTTTTCCCCCCAATTCCCCGTTTTTTCCCAAATTCCCCGTTTTTCCCCCCAATTCCCGCTCTCACCCCCCGGGGGGGGCTCCCCGTCGCTGCCCCCCCCCTCGTCGCTGTCGGGCTCCCCTCCCCCACCCGGGGGGCTGAGCGGGGGGGGCAGCGCCCCCTCCCCCACCCGGTCCCGGGCCTGCAGCGACAGCTTCTCCCGGGAACTGCGGCGGCACACCGAGCTCCTGCCGGGAAAACGGGGATTTGGGGTGAAAAAACGGGATTTTGGGAAAAAACGGTGATTTGGGGAAAAAACACGAGATTTGGGGAAGAAAAACGGGAAAAAACGGGAAAAAAACGGGGATTTTTGGGGTCGCTGCTTCTCCCGGGAACTGCGGCGGCACACCGAGCTCCTGCCGGGAAAATAACCGGATTTGGGGTGAAAAAACGGGATTTTGGGAAAAAAATGTGATTTGGGGAAAAAACGGGAAAAAACGGGGATTTTTGGGGTCACAGCTTCTCCCGGGCACTGCGGCGGCACACCGAGCTCCTGCCGGGAAAATAACCGGATTTGGGGTGAAAAAACGGGATTTTGGGAAAAAACGGTGATTTGGGGAAAAAACACGAGATTTGGGGAAAAAAAACGGGAAAAAACGGGGATTTTTGGGGTCACAGCTTCTCCCGGGCACTGCGGCGGCACACCGAGCTCCTGCCGGGAAAATAACCGGATTTGGGGTGAAAAAACGGGATTTTGGGAAAAAACGGTGATTTGGGGAAAAAACACGAGATTTGGGGAAAAAAAACGGGAAAAAACGGGGATTTTTGGGGTCACAGCTTCTCCCGGGCACTGCGGCGGCACACCGAGCTCCTGCCGGGAAAATAACCGGATTTGGGGTGAAAAAACGGGATTTTGGGAAAAAACGGTGATTTGGGGAAAAAACACGAGATTTGGGGAAAAAAAACGGGAAAAAACGGGGATTTTTGGGGTCACAGCTTCTCCCGGGCACTGCGGCGGCACACCGAGCTCCTGCCGGGAAAATAACCGGATTTGGGGTGAAAAAACGGGATTTTGGGAAAAAACGGTGATTTGGGGAAAAAACACGAGATTTGGGGAAAAAAAACGGGAAAAAACGGGAAAAAAACGGGGATTTTTGGGGTCGCTGCTTCTCCCGGGAACTGCGGCGGCACACCGAGCTCCTGCCGGGAAAATAACC